CTGAAGCGTTTTCGGCTAGCAATGCATCGTGGGCGTGGAAGCATTAAAAAAGTAGAACGAAACTTCAATCGTTTTAGAAGTAGATATTTGTTCATGTCTAGCCCAATCACCAAAAGGGATTTCGGGCTTAACCTTTGCACTTTGTTAGTCCTTGTACTTAAAGGAGGAGGGGGTCGCACAGACTTCTGTCCTCGACTTTTCGCAACTAACTCAAGCAAAACGTGGCGGATCACGACGAAACTTTTTATACCTTCGATTCGATCAATGCCACTCACACACCTAAAATTTCATGACCTTGACCTTAATAAAAATTTGACCTGTGACCTGTTTCACCAGACCATGTCAGGCTGGTATCGATTTGGCGCTTATCAGCGCACATTATCGGCGCGTTTTCAGTCTTGTTGTGGTTGTTAACTCTCCAAGGTATGAAATGCTGTTTGTTCTTCGCATTTTAAGGTCACGTTAAGGTCAAATCAAGGTCATTTACCGTAGATGACTTTAGTTGACTTTTTCAAGTTATAAGATTTTTCTAGATAAGTGCTTGGAGCTTATTTCGAACTTAACACCCATTTGAAGATTTAAGTAGTTTTGGTGCCTAACGGAACATGCTACGAAGCCGTCAAAGGTAATCGACGCCTACCTTCTATGGATAGCCGGCAAGACACCTACTGGTCGGGCCTGACCTGACCCGGCCTAGCATGAAAACATCATCCTTGATCAAAACTAGCTTGAAATTCGTGATTAGCACCCCAAAAACCTCCAACCTCACTTTACAAAGTTACAGCATTTTTCGATTTACCTATATCAAAGCTCTGTACTGAAGTTCAATAAGGTGAACATTGGCGGCGATAGCCAATAAAATGGACGCAGCGTTGCAAGGGTGTTGTTGTTTTGTTCAAAAAGAACATTTGACGATAGAAAAATAATGTCAACATGGTATCACCCCCTTCCTCCCTCCTCCCAGCTCCTATACTGACCGGAAACCCCCAGGCGGTGTGCTGCGGTCGGGTAACCCGCCGCGGCGCGGCCCGGCGGGGCGTAAGAAACCACGCGGCACCGTCTGCTTTGACGTCTCATAGTGACTGGTTTAGGCAAAATTCGGCAAAAAATGAGAGCTGCCCCCGATGCAGAAATTATTGGAGAACATTTTGATATATATTTCCACGCGTACCACCGCGTATCAAACTTTGTTAGGCAATAGTTTGCTTGTCAACTCTCTGAATCAAGAAGCATTTTAACATTTTTAGCATTTCGGTCAAAAATTATACATATGGATGAATTTTGGAAATTTTCGTGCATACCATCATCTTCCTTATGAGTCAAAGATAATGAAAACATGTCGCAACTATAACCTGCTGTTCAGGGAAACGAGTGAGAGGGCGTTTTATTGTAGTGTGCTTTTTCGCTGTATGCAGGTAGCACGACGCTGGTCAGGACGAAGCTACACTTTGAGAGGTTTTTTGAGGCATAAACAATCATTTTACAGACGATTTAAGGTGTGATTCGGATGCGCTGGACAATTCTACGTGGAATGAATAACAAAAAAGTGGAAATCGAAATACTTTAACTTGCCACTTAATGCGTGCTAGGATGGCATAAGTCCCCACGGTGCACCGGTTCATATAACCCTCGCAGAACCTCAGAGACCACTCAGCTCTCTCCCCACCTCCGTCACCCGCCTTTCATCGGTCACATTGTCGTTAGTGCCGCGTCACCGTCTTTAGCCCGCACCGCGCCGCCGCGGCACGGCCCCGTTCCATGGAGCCATTCTGAGTTTCTGAGGGATGGTGGCCCCGGATGTAGCCGACGTTCGGTCGAGGTGGGTCTTTTGGGCCGACATTCGGCCGTGGTGGCTCCGGCGAGGGCGACATTCAGACCCTGCAAGTTACTGCACATCTCGGTAGGGACATCAGCTCCCAGCGCTGGCATTAGTACAGAAGGAAATTTTCCCTGGCGATTTCTCCAGTTCCAGCTCTGGTATGGCTTGTGAGCGACACGCGGACCGTCGCCGGCTCCTCCCGTTCCGTCCGCCAACAGCCCGGTGACCGATCGGTCACCGGGCTGTCTACCGAGGCGCGAAGCTCTGTACAGAGAGCCGTTCAGACCCACACCGGCCCTGAGAGGCAGAATGGCGACCTCGGCGAGGACGCTGATCAGCACCGTTTGTCCCATCATCTCTGTCAGGCGGAAACGGACGCCGCGCCGTACCTTCGACCTCGGTTCTGTTCTGTTTGTCTCTCTCTCTCTCTCTCTCTCTCTCTCTCTCTCTCTCTCTCTCTCTCTCTCTCTCTCTCTCTCTCTCTCTCTCTCTCTCTCTCTCTCTCTCTCTCTCTCTCTCTCTCTCTCTCTCTCTCTCTCTCTCTCCCCGCTCTCTTTCTCTCTTTCTCTCTTTCTCCCTCTCCCGTGATGCTCTGTTCTCTATAGGTTCTCCTCACCCTCTCTGATAAGTGCTAATTATTCTGTCCTGCTAACCATTCTGCTAACTTCTAACTATTCTTTTAGTTCTTAGCTAAACTGTGTTCCAGGCCTATCCTTTCCTTTCCATATATCTGTATTACCTACCTTGGTCATTTCATCATTCCTTTACGTTGTTTTTCTTTCTTTTGCTTTTCCTATCTGTTTATCTGCTCTCCCTGTTGGCCTGCATCTCCAATTTCCATTGTGTGCAGAGGGTGGGTCCCAGTCTCGATATCAGGCTCCCTGCCGTCGATTGAGATAAGTGGGCTAAATGGACCGTCTTTGTCCGTCGGTATGTGTGTCTGTGTGCCGCCGACGCTGGATTGAGTGATGGCCGGCTCCATCTTTGGTTTCTGTGTGTGCCTGCTGCTCACGGCGCCTCCAGCACAGCCGCTCCGTCGATCCTTCATCCCAGTGCTGGTTGGAGTGTTGGCTGCTCTCCTACTGTCGACCTGCTTTGGTGGCCGCTGATTTTATACGTTGCCATAGTAGGGCAAACTCATCCGATCTCAGAAGATGCACCAGTCTACTCGACTGTTCATGGAAGCTGTTTCGAACTTTTTGAGCTTCATGCGATTTGAGTCGCTCCTACACCCGCCTCCGTCTAGCTCTGTCGCTAGGGGCTCTCCCCTCTCTTCCTTTCAGTTCTGGTGCCGACGCCGGCACCTCTGCTTGGTCGGCCTTGCGTGGGCGCCTAGATCCGGGTGGAGTCGCCCGCTACTGACACGGCGAATTGGCCGCAGCGAATCGGCGCCACCGCCGAGCGGGCCCGGCCTTCGCGGCATGACGCGGCAGCTCGCGCTGGAACGCGGACCGCCGCCTGGAACATGACCGTGGAGACCGGCGGACCAACGGCGGACCAACGGCGGTCCAACGGCGGACCAACGGCGGACCAACGGTGGTCCAACGGCGGTCCAACGGCGGTCCAACGGCGGACCAATCGCGGTCCAATGGCGGTCCAACGGCGGACCAGCTGTGGACCAATGTCGGTCCAACGGCGGTCCAACGGCGGTCCAACGGCGGTCCAACGGCGGACCAAGGGCGGACCAATGACGGCCCAACGGCGGTCCAACGGCGGACCAAGGGCAGACCGACGACGATCCAAAGCAAGTCCAATGTCTAACCAGCGGGGCACGTATTGCAGAGCAACGACAGTTCCATTGTGTACTTATCACGAGAGGGACGTCTGGGTAGAGACGGCGAGCTGAGGGCAGAGGCTGCAAGGAAGGAGAGATAGCAAAGAGTCGTGGAGTCTCGCCAGAGGAATGTGTGATGTCATAAACTGTCTCGGGAAGCGTTAAACAAGTCATATTTCTACCTTGGAGAAACATCCGCGTCTGCAGGAGCGTGCAGTCTTGTCCGCACGGTCGTTTCAGAGCTAATTGTTTGCCGCGGACCCAGATGTGATGACGTTGCTGGGGGCGTCTGTGACCAGCGGTCATTGGGTCCTGGCTCATCTCCGGTTCTCGTTGTGACCTTTCTGACTCGCTGTGCCGCTGTCTATGAGGCGACACACCGACTCATTTCAGCTATCCCCGCCCTGTGTCTCGGTGCCGCCACCGACGGCCCAGCCGGGTTAACCGTTTAATTTTGGCACGCCAGAAGTGGTGCGCCGAGGGAAATATCCGCTCTGCTGCCGGTCGCCGGTCTCCCGCCGGAAAAGTTTGACACGGCCGGCCAAGTTTCGTAAACATTATGAGCGCTTCACTAATATTACATCCCATAGTGTCAAACTTACACGCTCAGATGGCTTCACCTGTCCGATAGGCGGTGATCCGGGCGACCTGCCTTTGTTTCGAACGCTGAGCGTTTCGGTGGCGAGCTCAACGCGAGCTGGGTCTCCCCCCGGACTTCACACACAAATGGGGATTCTCCTCGCTATGCTATACGCTGCACATAAAGACCGATTTATTCGAGCCAACTGCCGTTTGGCGTTCGGCGGGCGCTCCTCGGCAGATTTAGCGGCCGAGACCGGGCCGCTGAACCGAGAGCAATTCGTCCCATTTCGCCAGTTAGCGAGTGGCTCCGATAGATGGCGGGCCGCGCGTCCTGCAGACGGCGGAAGGCAAGTCATGGAGCTCCAGTTTCCACACCATAGCGCCCGCAACGACCTGGAATAATGACCATTCAAAAATCGCTCCCGGCACATCGTCTTATTAAACTTGGCTGAGCGATAAATTATCCCAACGATGCCGTCAACGAGCACAGGAGTAATAGAGTGGAAGCTTTGCAGCCGTACTGCTGCGAGTTAGCTGGCCCGTTCGGTCTGACCCGCCTGGCCTTCGGAAGGGAAGTCGATACAAGCCATGGCCTGGTCTGGGCCTTGGCTAAAATAACATAACCCCTACGTGAGTCTGCATGAAGCAGTCCGGCCGAACACGAGTGCCCAATGCACCATACATCAATATGTATCGATCATGTTAGCAAATGAACAGACATCTTGCTAAGTGGTCTGCTGCTATGCATAGATGACTAATGCATTTGCAATGCACTTCGTTCTTTGTATCTATTTAATATCTAACCGAATATCTCTCCGTTTTCAGGTTTGGTGGCTGCTGGGAGGCGTTTACAACTAGCTGGACTTTCTGCATCATATCGACGACTGTCAAACTGGAGGTCGGCGTGGCGTCTTCCCTGCCTGGTCTAGCCGGCCTGCAAAACCGGCCAGGGCCACGGCCGCGCCCGCCCGTCAGCCCGCCCGCCCTCAGGTCAGTCTGTTGACTCGGCCGCTGGGCCTGCTGTTTGACTTTGCACATTTACGCACGTAAATATTTGCCCGTTGCTGTTTATTAGTCCAGAGCGTGTTAGAGCTGTGCGGCCGACTCGGCCACTGCAGCCGGCCCCGCTGGCGCCGCGCCCTCTCCGACAGATGACGCCGTCATCGGATGACGCAGCCGGATGACGTCTGACCGTCAGATGTCACCCGGTCGGCAGCGCCCGTCGTCCCGGTCGGACTGCGTCGGACGGGTCGCCCCAGCTGCAACCAGCGCGCGTTTGGAGGTGCCCCGACCAGGCACCATAGTCGCATGCGGCCGTGGCGGGCGCAGCGTATGATGGGCGGCATAAATCATTTCTCCGTTCCGCTGCGCTTGCAAATGCATGACTGATGAATATGGGTCTGTGTATTCGTACGTTTGTACACCCGTCATGCACTTTGGGTGCAGATTACGCTTACACAGCCAGCAATGCATGGAAACACAGTACCACAGGCGGCGGCGGGGTGGCGGTGGACAATCGGAAAGACAAGAACGCTGAACAATGTGTAGGATCAGTGTTCGCGGCACGGCGTGGGCGCACAGACTGAGCCAATAGTGTTGGAGCCACACGGCAGGTGTCGCTGCAGTGGCGCCCGCGGACAGAGAAAGTTTTTGCCGCACGACCCCGTAGGTGTCGCTCGTCAAATGCATTTCTCCGTTCCGCTGCGCTTGCAAATGCATGACTGATGAATATGGGTCTGTGTATTCGTACGTTTGTACACCCGTCATGCACTTTGGGTGCAGATTACGCCCAACACCCCGGAATGCATGTAAATGCGCCATCAATAACAATAGCGGCGCCGGTTGACTGCAGCGCGCCGAGCGACCCACTAATTGCTCGGACGGATTCGGTCGACGGTGAACAGCTCGCTGCAGGAACTTGCAGACGGCGGGGGCACAGGGTTTGGGTCCTGCAGGAGGTGGGAGGGGGCTCGAGGGGTGGGCACGGACTTTTGGACCTGCAGGCAGTGGGGCCCTGATGGTATATAATCTTTAGACTGTGTGACTCTGAAGGTGGAGCCTGTAAACTACAAACAGTGGGACTGCAACAAAGCCTATAGTGTAGATCCTGGAGGAGGGGTGGATTGCGCCTCTCTGTTTCTCCGTAGCCGGTCGGAAACCCCTCACCAGGAACTGAGACCGACGAACTCGGTCTGTGTTTGGACTCCGGTAAACTGTACTGTTTGGTATCCTGCGGAGTCACTCGGAACCACACCGGGCGGGCGGCGATCCCGCCCTTTGCTTCCCCAGCGAGTCACCAGAATTAGCACTCCCCTGTGACCGTTTAGCAAATAGCAGCCACCAGTCACCCGCTCAGCACCCGGTGGCCGCCAACAGAGCCGATAACTATAACGGCTGGGGTGCTAGGGAGCTGGAAGAGGAGATCACTAAGAGATACTAGGGCTCTTCAGCTCAAACCAGTGCGGCTAATCTCATCAGCCCTCACCTGTGGGGCTGCTATTGTGGATCGTATGCAAATGGCTTGCAAATGGCCCACGCTGGCATGTGTACTGTTGGTCAGTACAACTGTATCCGGGTGTATCCTAACCACCCGGGGGCCGTCGACGGGTTGAGTCGGAGGCTCGTCGTGTCTTTGTCAGTCTGCCACTGTCCAGGCTGAGGCGGGTGTCGTCAGCCGCCCTGGGTCGGCCCGGGTCTATTTCTGCAGGAACCATGGCGTCATTGTTTGGGCCGCTGGCTGTGCTTGCTGCCGGCCGGAACCTCCCAGCTGCCAGGTGGACCCCGGTCCCAATGACGGTCCTCGCTGCCCACATAGACCAAGCGTGCATTTGACCTATCCGAGACTGATTATGCAACGGGGCTCAGACGTAAGACCAGGCACGACTGTGCTCTCGTTGGTGGTAAGCCGGGTGGCTCTCTCATGGCTATTCGTTTCGCCTGGTTTCTACTGCGAGCCGACTACGGTTCATGTCCACTCTCAGTGACCTCCATGGCTCTGCAGCCAGACGGCCAAGCCTTCCGTTGGCCCGAGCCACGCGCGCAGTCATGGCCATTCTGCGGAAAGTGCCATAAAAGACTTTGCGAGCCCGATACCTTTCAGACGCCAATTCGGCGTAAGCTTTCAATTTTCGTCAGTGGCCGGTCACGTCTGGCCGTTGTGCCGTGAGACCGCTGTCCGTAGAGGCTGCTCATCATACTAGGGGACAGGGCTCTCGCTGTCCAAGGGCAGCCGAGGAGCGGGTCTAAACAAAGGAGCGCCGCCGGCCGCCGATGAGAGGCTCGTTGCCGCTGCGCCGCGATATGATGACGGTCACTGTGGCCGCGCTCGGCCGGCGCCCGAGCAGAGCGTCGTTGGGCCCGGCGACCCGGCGGCCAACGGAGGTCACGGGGTCGGGTCACCGGCCGCCGGGGTCACCAGACGCCTCGGGCCGGTTTATGAAGGCCAGACATCAAACGGGCTCGCTCGGCGACGGCAGAATTATCGGGATCCAATCTGGTCTAACTGCGGGCCGACAGCGCTGGTGCCAGCGACCGGCTGGTGGAATTTATTCGACGCGGCGGCGGAGGCGCAGCCGCGAACAGAGGGCACCCATAGTGGCACTGGCGCAGGAAAAGAGCGACGAAACACTGCGGCGCAGCTCCAACAGACGAAATGAGCCGCACGAGCGCCGACTTTAACGAGCGGCTTTGTGCGATTTTTATGAGAACCGTCGCCATTTCGGAGGACTTGAACCCGTCAAACTGTCGGAAATTCCATCATATGGCGAAAATGTAAAGTCTTCACTGCTACCAATGTGTCTGGAAGGGCTTGATTGCGGTGTCGATAGCGCGATACGCTATCCGTCTATAAAACTCGGAAAGAGTTTCTAGTTATTCTCCCCTTTGACCTGACTGGGGTCAGCCTTTTTCTTTGTCTCCGAAAACCCATTTCCATCGCTGCCAGTAGTGTGCCCTACCGCCTCCAGAAGGACAAGCCGATGACTTTACACAAAAATTGGCCAATCCAATATGGATGCCTGCGTGTTTCCTCAGCAAACAGCGGCCAAATGAGAGGAAACACTAGAAGCCGACGGCAAACATTGTGGCCTGGGACCCGGCCGGGCAGCGGGGCCGGAGCAGGGGCAGGGCAGACGGCGGGGACGGGCCATCCGCTGAGGCTACGTAGCCAAATACTTAGCCGAGTGTGCTGCTGGAGCACACAGAGGCGCCGCCGGGCCGGTCCATAATAATCAGAAGAGGGAGAGAGGGCCGGGGAGGGAGAGGGAGAGCGCCGGGACGGCTGATGGACGAGGGAATCTCGCGGGGAGTGTGCTGATGGAGAGCCCGGAGATGCCGCGGATCGGCGCAGAGTGGCCCGCACGCTCACTAAGAATTGTGTGAAAAATACCCCGCTTTGGGAAACAGCGGAGAGCAGGCACGCGCTAAACTGAGGCTGCGGCAGCTGCGGAGCTGAAGTGGAAGCTGAGGTAGCTGGGGGCGGATGTGGGCGCATCACGTGATGCCCAGAGTTATTGGCTAATTTCGTCACGGTTATTGGCACTGACACGCATCGCACGCCGTACCCAGTCACCTCTGGGTTTCCAGGAGTCCCCAGTGCTGCTGCATAACGCCTCCGAAGGCTGACCGGCAGAGAGCGTCGGTGGGGAGTCGGTGGACTGGTGCTGAGAGGGGCGTGGCGGCAGGGGAAGTCGCGGAGGGTGACGGCGCCTCCAGCCGAGTACCCCGGGACATTAGCGTGACACACGTCAGCTGACAAAGTGCCGCTGGGGAGGGGGGGAGGGAGAGAGGGGAGAGAGAGGGAGGGAGTGAGGGAGAGAGAGAGGGGGAGGAAGAGAGAGAGAGACGAGGGACGAGATCAGTCGGGTACTTTCCAATCGGTAAACCTCATCTCTCACAACGGTGAATAGAGCGGAATGCGACGAATCCTTGACGAGAGTTTGCACTTATTAGCATAATGCCTTGGCGAACTATAGTTCGCAAAGGTGCGTCCAACTGCCTCGGAAATTCAAAATCCCTGATCGTCCATATAACTTATAAGGGGGTTATTGATAGTCTCGGCAATCCATATACTATGACAATGTAATTAGAGGGCCAGTTAAAATTAAACGCCGTGGTCAGATCATTTAAATTGGTCCAGGGGTGCGTTCATTTCAAGTTGCGAGGCTTAATTAGGGGTTCCAGTGTGTTTATTTCACAGTCCGCACTTTATGCGGGGGACAGTTATATACCGCCAGTGAAATATCTGTAGCTGGCACGTTCAGTACTCTGGCCAGCTGTTACCTTACTGATGACTCCACAGTCCACGCTGCTGTATGATTCTCCAGATGCGAGGTAAACAAGCAGTGCACTGATGTCCGATGATAGGTTTTACGAACGGTAAATGGCGTCTGCACTGAAATTTGTATCCTAACTTTGAGTTGAGTCGCTGTCTGGTACTCCGCCCCTGCTTCGACCTCCAGGCTTCAGTCTGAGGGTTTCGGACACTGTTTTGACACCCTATACTCCATGCGCAGTGCACGTCTCCCACCTCGTGACGTTTCGCAGCCTTACCTACCTACCTTACTAACCATGCCGGACGTTACTTGTGGGAATTGGCCAGTCCTCGAGGCACCTCGCCACTGATAAATGGCCGGAACTGCACGATACCTTCCACGGGAAGCCCGACACTGGCCTGTGGGCAGACTTGTGCCAAGGTCCCAAAAAGGTCCGAGATCCAGGGTTCGCAGAGTCCAAGGTCTGGGACCTTGATGGATCCTGGACCTTGCATTGTCATTTTTGTCGTGAGACCTTGGAAACCCAGGACCTTAAAACATCCATATGCCGCGAGACCTTGGAATCCCAGGATCTCAACATTTGCATATGTTGCGAGACCTTGGAATCCCAGGACCTCAACATTTGCATATGTCGCGACACCTTGGAATCCCAGGACCTCAACATTTGCATATGCCGCGAGACCTTGGAATCCCAGGACATCAACATTTCATGTGACATGAGACCTTAGAAACCCAGGACCTCAACATTTCATATGCCGTGAAACCATGGAAACCCAGGGGTCAGGACCTCAAAATTTTGATATGCTGCAAGACCCTGCAGAATGCAGACCTTCAGTCCCAGTTTTATTATTTGTCATGGGATCTTAGGAGAAAGGTCTGCTGGATCTACATCATTTTGTTGAGGGACCTCAAGAATCCTGGAAGCAGGACCATGAGGTTTATGTTGCACATGGGCCACTAAGGACCCTGCACTAGGTTTTGTCTGTAAACACTTCAATAAATATCTATGGTTGAGCCGCTGAGCGACCAGCTGCAAGGGGATAGGATAGATACATGAAGAGAAAATGAACCAGACTGTGTAGACATCAGAGCCAAATCGTTGTCATGGCTGTGAGGCAGAACTGGAACAAGAGACCTGGTAGCTTTTTACATTATCAATGTTATGGATTATGAAACTGTTAAACAGTGGACAGTGGTGGTTTGGAAAATTCTTTTCTAATCTCACCTGACATATTTTCTGGGCCTTGTTTTCTGGGTTGTGATATGCCGGGCTTGAAGCTACCTGGAAGCTACCCTGACCCACTGACCAAGTAAGTGTCAAACTTATTTGATTTGCAAGTCATCAAATCACCATTGAGCAATGAGCATCCAATATA